GTTAAGTTATTTCCCCTATTTCTAGCGTAGGACTGGCAAGTTGAGACTTCGTACTCAGACTATTTCAATAAAAGTTGCAATTTGTTTTGATTTCCGACATTGTTAAAAAAAAAACGGTAGGATTGCAATGGACAACCATTGCCACTACCTACATTGATAGAATTGCAGTGGACAACCATTGTCGCTATCAAAGTTAAAAAGGATTGCAGTAGAGAACCCTCGGCCCACCGAGGTGTTTAAAAAATTAGTCCTCGGACTACCGAGGACTACGAAGAAGACCCTCGGCCTACCGAGGTGTTTAAAAATTTAGTCCTCGGTTGCAGCTGCAAAACACTAGTCACTCGGTAGAATGATCTACTGTAAGGCTAGTGAAAGAGCACCCAAGGTTAGAATTGGGACTACCCGTTTCTTAAAAGACAAAGGAGTAAATCAAACAGCGTTACGTATGCTGGGAGTTCAAAAGACCAAGGTCTACAATCATAAAAAAAAAGGTACAAGTCCAGAAGTGACAACAAAACAAACAAAGTCCTGACATCATCAACGATCAAACATCTCTAAAGTCCGAGGGGCCGACATCCTCTTCGCCTGTCATGGGATCAACAGACTCGGGAACGAGACGACTGAGGTCAAAGGAAGGGTCGAGGGTGCCAACGAGCTGCCTGCAGGCATCGAACCCGTCGAGCCAATAATCCGAGTTCTCCTCAGCAGCTTCCTTGGCCTTCTTGTTGGCGTCCTCCACCTTCTTGTTAGCCTCTTCAAGGCTCGAGTCCATCCCCTTGATCCTCAGATCGAGCTTCTCAACGAGAGCCCTTAGACGCGTCACCTCAGTATGATGGCGTTCGCTCTCCTCTTCAGCCTTCGCCTGAGAGGCCTCGCTACTCTCTAGCAAGTCCCTCAACTCAAGGATCCTCCGGCTACCATAGGCAATCTTGTCAATCATGCCTTGGTGAGTGCGAAGGAGCTGAAAGACAGAAAAAGGTTAGAAAAATTTCGGAGGCAACATGGAAAGAATAACGAGAATTCTTGTTATCTTGGCCAAGTACGCGTAGCCATCGTAAGATAACTCCTCAGACGTCGCAGCCCGGAGGCTCTCTCTATCTCCTCGGGGTAAGAGGTGGCTCATCATCTCTACAGCGG